CTGTTGGGTGGGATTACCCCCAGGAGGGTGGTGGGCACCTGCGGCTCTGTTGGGTGGGATTACCACAAGGCAGAACCGACTGGATGCTCCATCTTGACTTCGTCCATGCTGGCACTCCCCTCTCCCTAAGGTGACATCCCTTCTAGCAATTGGGCTTTTCTGGTGATGTGTCCAAAGGTGACTTGCAGAATCAGATGGCCACGCCTTTCTCCCTAGTCTTGTCAATGCGTCTGTCTCTTAAAAATGCCTGTGACTCATTCTTAGGGGACAGTCACAGTTGGTGCTTTGAAGGTAGAGTTGTTGTTAGGTGCCTTCGAGTCGACCTCACCTCGTGGGAGCCTGTGAGCCAGGTGGGAACCCTGCCTGCCCCCGTGCCTTCCCCCCATGTCTGTGGTGGTCACAGTCACTGAGGGCAGGAGCATTTAGACGGCACAGGGTCTCCCTCAGAGCGCCCCTGGCAGTGGGCGTGGGTGACAACTGACAGGCCAGCAGCTGCCTCCCCAGCAACATTTTCACTTTGTGCTCCCACCCAGGTGGCCTAGCCTTCCGGGGAGACCGCCTGGCCACCATGCCCAGCATGCATGTTGCAGGCATCCTGGGGCCAGCAGTGTGCTCCTGTGTAAGGCCGACTGTCGGTGCCCACGTGGTATCTAACCTGCTGGTGCCCACTTCTCTCTTCCAGGGAGATGACAGTCTTTCTACAGTCACCCTTGACTCCAGCTTTGAGACGGTGAGTGCCTGGTCAGTAGGTCATTTGTCTCCAGATGTGACGGAGACCTGTGCCTTGGTTCCCCACAGCCCTGGGCTTGGACGTCCAGAGCTCTGCTTGTGTTTGCAAAGTCTTGCGCCCTTATAACAAACCCCACTGTTGGACACTCATTTCCGGCTCAGAGGGATCCTGCAGCCCGAGGAGTGCTCCACGCGGCCTCCAAGGCTGTCGTCCTTATGGGAGCCGCCTGCCTCCTCTTTGCCCTGCAAAGCATCTGGTGGGTTCAAACCACTGACCTTTGGGCTTAGCAGCAAATTGTCCTAATCACTGCACCACCAGAGCTCCTTGTCAGGCTCTTCTAAACTACGCTGTTGTCCCTGGTTGATTGTGACTCATGGCGAACTGCCCTCTTGGCCTGGAAGAGGAGCTGCTGACGCGTGTGGTCAGACCCTGTGGCCACTCGCACCCTGCCTTGCTAGCAGGGAGTGAGCAGGGGCGCTCACGGGGGTAGAAGAGGAAGACAGCTAATGGCTCGTGTAGGGAGAGCAGTGTGTCTGAGACCAGAGGGGGCCCAGGAGACCCAGCAGTTCACCTTAGGTCAGTGTCTCCTCCAGCGGACCCTGGAGACCAAGGGGAGAGCCACCCCTTTACTGTTGAGGGAGGGCCTACCTCTGGGCCTCTGAGACCTGCGCCTGAGCTCCTTCGGGAGGAGGGGACCACCTCACCTCCCAGAAGACCCCAGCTGACAGAGTGTGGATGCCCAGACACTGTCCATTGAGAGGGCATGAGGACTCCTCATTAGGGAAGGTCTCTCATCCCCACCCATGTCCATCTGTCTTAGTGTCTCTGCCGAGGCCCAAGTCAGGGACCCAGGCAGGCAGGCCACTTCCACGGGGATGGCCTTCTTTCAAGGGAGCGACATCAAAGTTTCCCTAGTTCTAAGCCCATTAAACCTGCTCCCAGAAACCACACTTCACTGCCAGCTCTCCAGCTGCCCAGGCAGACAGGAAAGGGACCCTGGCATGGTGTCCACAGTCTGATTCCAAGCAGTGACCCTGCCGTTTGGGCACATGGCAGAGCAGTGCCAGGAGACCCAACCCCGGAGCCCTCATCACGTTCACTTCTCCAGTGCCTGGGCCCTGGGCCCGTGCCATGGCCTCTGCTCGCAACTCCTCTGAGCCCTTGCCCCTCTGATGCCCTTACCCCTCTGATGCCCTTACGCTGGCCCATCAGTGACCCAGCCTCCCGGTCAAGCTCTTCGGAAGGAGCCCGCCCATACAGGCTCAACTAGCTGACGCTGTTTGTGGTTTTTTGTTTGTTTGTTTGTTTTTTCAGAAAGCAAAAAGGAAGAGTTCCCACAAGCCTCCACCCACATCGCCAAGTAAGTGAGCACCTCCAGCCACGTGGTTTTTCTGTTCTACTTTGGCAAGTCTTAATCATCATGTCCTGCTGTGACAGGGATCCCACAAGGGGGTGGCTTTAACAAACAGACATTTACTCTCTCAGGGTTTAGGAGGCTTGAAATCCAAGTTGAGACATGAGCTGTAGCGAAGGTGTGCCCTGTCTTTGGGTTCTTGAAGAAGGTACTGTTTCCTTCAGCATCCATCGGCTCAGCATTGCCTGGAGATGGCCGGTATCTTGGCCTTCTCCTGTGCCAGGTAGCTTCCCAGGGACTAGACCCAGAGGGCACGCCTCGTCCTCATCTTTCTCGATCATGCTTGGAATGGTGGAGGGTCAGTGAGAGAGAGGAAGAACCCTCCAGCAGTGGACTGACAGGGTGACTGCAGCGTTGGGCTCAAGTGTGTCAGAGTTGATGAGGACGACCGAGGAGAGAACAGAATGCAGATCTGTTGGTCAGAGGGTCTCTGTGAGTCGTACCTGACAGCACATAACATAACTTACCTCCCATTGGGAAAAAGGACACAGGCCACACTCCCAGAAACACAGGTCAGAGCTGTGACCTCAGTCCCCTGAGGCTGGCCACACTTGAGACCACGTGGTGGGGAATGACCTCACCATTGTGTACCTGCGCTGGTCACGCCTCACTAACACCGTGGAGGGGAGAGTGTACATGACACTGGGTTGCTTATTATTGGTTTTCACACTGGATTTTTATGTCTGGAGGACAGTTACGGTACACTGAAAGTCAAGACCTGCCAAGTGGACTTAGGGTCACGGTTCAGCCATGACACGGCTCTTCCCCACCTGGAAGGAAAAGCACTTTCTTTTCTCCTGGATACAGTGAAGAGACCTGACACACAGAACGCTATAACCAGCTGGCTCCCCCTCTGCTGGGAATCTTGGGAGCGTGTACCCCTCTGGAACCTTCTGGTCAGATGCCGTCCACTTTGGGGGCAGGGTGGCCTTGAGGACTCTGACAGTGTCCGACTGCTGCTCCCTAAACCAGCACGACACAGAGCCTCCTGCCCGGTGGCACTGCCGCCGGCACTGCCCCGCTGGCGCTGCCCCGCAGCCCTTCACTTCTGGATGCCATCAGAGGACCCTGCCTCTGTTGTGATTATTTGTTGTTGCTGTTGATGGCAGAGCACACACCAGCCCATGGCTTCTCCGAGTCAGGCTCCGTGCTACACCTCAGCAGAATGAGTGAGGCACACCTTGGAGATACTGCCTTGGCCGACTGGTCACTCGTCACATGTGCACGCTCCTGAAGTCTTGTGAGCATGCAACACCATTGTGACAGAGTGTGAAGTCTTAGAGAATGACCAGAACGGGACATGAGCTCATGCCTTTGGGGAAATGGCACTGACCTTGGGTGCAGGGTGTCCACGCATCTTTGGTTTGTAGATAAACCCTGCCCAGCTGTGGAGTGCGGAGAGGCGAGGTGTACCTGTGCGTCCTTCAGCTGTGGCACCGGCCTCACCCATCCCTCCCTGGTCGCATGAACTCCCTGCCCCAGGCTGCTTGAGGGCCCCGTTCCAGGGCTCTGGTTCAGCACTCATCCTGAGGGTGCAGGCCGCTCACCCGAGGCTGTGTGAGAGTGGGTGGTCTTTCCAGGACCACGTGGAAATTTGGCTGGTGGTTTGGGTTAGTTTTCCTTCTGGAATTGCACTGGCGTCGTCCTCAGGAGGCTGAGTCCAGGCGGCTGCCAAGGCCTCAGCTGCGGCTGTCCTGGCACTGCTCTGGTAAAGTGAAGCTCCTGTAGTTGAGATTTTGCTACACACGTTGAATCCTACGTGGGTTTCCTTCTATCCCAAATCCTTTAATTTTTGTTGGCTTTATCAGCTCTCTTTGTATGTGGTGGAGTCCTGGTGACAGCAGCTAACACACCTGGTTGCTAAGCCGTCAGTCAGTGGTTCAAACCCACCTAGCGCTCCCCAGGAGCAAGAGAGAGCATTCGGCTTCTGTATAGACTGGCAGCCTTGGAAGTCGTTGGGGCAGTTCTCCACCCTTCAGGACCACTGTGCGTTGGAATAGATGCAGCACCTGCGTGTTTATAAATACACACGTGCACTCCCACACTTGCTTCCTAGTTGGGTCTTGCACTGGTCAGTTCCACACTTGTGAATGGTTTACATCAAGCCCCTGTGTAGAGGGGCCGCTCCTTGTAACCTGGAGGCGTGTGCTGGTTTTCAGAGTCACCGTACTACTCCAGGCCGCAGCTCTTGGCCACCGCGAGGTCCCTGCGGATGGACGCCAGCATGCCCCTGAATACCAGGATGACCCTGACCCCTCAGAAGCTGTGGCTCGGGACGTCCAAGCAAGGTACTGTCCCCCAGCGAACCCCTGCTGTCCGGTGGGAGCCCAGGGGTCACGGTGGGGCCTCAAGGTGCAGTAGCCCCCCATTGTGCTGCTTTCTCCACCTGCTGCTCTCTGCCAGCCCTGCTTCCAGCAAACCTATGCCGCTGTTACCCCGGCAGCACGTGCTGGCTCCGTGCTCTAGGTCCGGTTTGGGTCCTGTTTCAGACTTCGTCATCAAACTCTGTACACTCAAGTGTCGTTGGTTGCTGGACGTCATCGTGTTGTGAGGTGGCTCTAGCTCTCAGTGACCGCACATGTCCTGCCTGCTGTCCAGCTCTCAGTGACCCACACATCTCGCGTGCTCCTGCACTGCGCTCGCAGTCTCCGTGGAGCTCAAACCCTCATTGCAGTCTCTGTCAGCCCATCTCCTCGGCACCTGCCTCTTTTTTGTTGACCTCCTAATTTATCCGCCGTGATGTCCTTCTTCAGAGTCTGACCCCTTCTTAGAACATGCCCGAAGTGTGTCGGGTGAAGCCTCATCACCCGTTGCTTCCAAGGAGCACTCTTGTGCACATCTTCTAAGACTCAAGGTTGTTTTTCTGGAAGTCCATGCTCTGCCCAGTGTTACTTACAGCAGTTCAAAGGCATCAGTTTTTCTTCACTTTTCCTTGTTCATTGTCCAGCTTTTTTGTTTGCATGGAGCAGCCAAACCTTAATCTTAACGTCTCTGTTCTTTTCTTTAGCTCCTTAAAGAGGTCTTGGTGGCGCGTGTGCCCAGTGTAACTTGTCCTTTGACCTCTCGTGACTTCCTGTCTGCTGCCGCCATGGGTGCTGATTGTAGAGCCAAGTAAAAGCACTCACTAGACTGCCCAGCTCAACCTGCACTGTCCAGTTGACTCTCCCTCTCGGCGAGCCTCTGGTGGGTTTCCAAGGCTGTAAACTGCGGTGCCAGAGAAGGCCCACCTTTCTCCCAAGGAGTTGAACTGCCAGCCTTTTGGTTAGCAGCTCAGCATGTTACGCACCAGCCCCCAGGACTTGAGCAGACGGTGGTGGGGGTCAGCATCATGACTGTGTGCACTGGGGAGTCAGGACACCTGAGTGCCTCTCGTTACTGCCATCTGTGCCACTGCGTGCTCAGGAACCAAACCGGCAACCTTGCGTGCTCTGCTTGGGTGGGCTTCATCATGTACTTGCTTGAATTTCCTGGTCATTGTTCTCTAGTTCTTCATGTCCACCTTGCAGCCCCGCTGTCTGGTCTGCTCTGAGCCCTGCTGACCTGGCCCTGCGGCTCCTCCTGGCCTCATACAAGCCAACCTAAATTCTTAGGATCTTTTTGAGCTGGTTGATGTCACTCAGGTGGCTGGAAATCAGACACGGTGGGAATATTTACACCACAAAAAGTGGTACACAAACCAGGCCCTTTTTCCTGGAGAGCTGCTCTAAACAGTCCCCATTAGCTGACCTAACATTTCCTCCGTGGGATGGCCGCTAGTAGAGGCCAGCACTCCCACTGAACTTGACCTGTATGTATTACACCCATGCGTTCACCCCAGGAAGTCTGACCCAGCCCCTGAAGGCAGACCACACCCTGGAGCAGGCCTGGACCACCCCTCCCAGATGTACCTCCGACTATCTGACAGAAGCTCTGAGAATACGGGGGTCCCGCCTCCGGCGCTCTGCCAGCCACGGTGAGCACAGGCCAGACTCCTCCCCACAGGCTGGTGGGCTGGAGGGAGTTCCCAGTGTTGAGGTCCTTGGCTTCCACCTTCACCCCACCACCAGATCAGGGGTCTCCAGGGGAACTCCTGTCCAGATCCTTCCACCCTCGGCCGGCTCACAGGATTTAGGAGAGGGTTATTCTGAACTTTCTTGTGTGAACATTGATAAAGTAGGAGTGAACAAAATAAATACAAGTACAAACCCCACTGTCACCGTGGATTCCGGCCCCCAGCGAGCCTGCAGGACAGAGCAGAACTGCCCTGTGTGGGGGGTTGCCAAGGCAGGAAGCCTTTGTGGAAACAGACTGCTCACCGTTCTCCGGCGGAGCAGCGGGTGGGTTTCTGTTAGCAGCCGGTAGCAGCCGGTCCTCAAGCAGCACGTTTCCTAAATAACAGAGAAGCCGAATTGTACACGGAATAGCCATTGCCGTCTTCGTCTCTCATCTTGTTCCTTGTAGACTTTCGGAAAAGACTAGCTCAGCCTCCAGACGACCAATTAGCATTCTCAGTGGATACAAGCTTTCTTCCAAAGCACTGCTGGGTGCACTTGAACTCCCATCCTTTCGTTCGGCAGCCGAGCAGTTCTGCCTTTCCCCCTCTCATAGTCCCTTCTTTTTTAAGGCTTGCGTGCTGGATAGAGGCCTCGTATCCAGGACCCACTGAAGTCAAAGCCCTGGCGTGGGCTTCTCCACAGGCCTGGGGGTGGTGAAGGGCAGTGTGTGCTCGACTTTGCTGAATTTACTGTGCAGTTATTATGTGCCCCTCTCCTTTTGTGACTCCTTTTTTATTTTTTGCCAATATTCGCTTTTTTTGTTTTGTTTTGTTTTTCTGCATTGTTGTGTTTTCTAAAGTCTTTGCTTCTTGGGAAAGGTGCTGTGGTGGCACGGTGGTTGAAGTGCTCAGCTGCTGACTGGAAGGTGTGTGGTCTGAGCCCACCAGCCACTCCTTGGGAAGACCGGGCAGCACTCGGCTCCTGTGGAGACTACAGCCTCGGGCACCCTGGGGCACTTCTCTGTCCACAGGGCCGGGGTGGGGGTGGTCAGGCCCACTCCGTGCCCGTGGGGGTTGTGTTTGAGGAGAGTGTCTTGTGTTTTGATCAGACTGAACATTTTGCACTACTGTGCCCTCCTCTTCCGTTCCTCCCTTCCTTTTTCAGAGTGTTCACTTGCTCAGCTTCCCAGGCTTCCATGAGGTGAAGCCAAGCGTGCTCCTCCCTCTCGGACAGCCTTTTGAGGGGCTTGTGTCTTCTCTAGGCCGTGTCTCGGGGACCCCTACCTACAAGGAGAAGGAGGACATGTATGACGAGATCATGGAGCTCAAGAAGGTAACATTCCCGCTGCTCTTGGGGCTGGCGTGGCGCAGGTGGGTGGGCTGGGCATTGTCCTGCAGGGAATGTAGGTGCTGTGGGGCCACGCCCCCGTCTGTGGCCTGGCACACCCTGGTAACCCGGTGATGATGGTTGGCGGGAGACCAGGCCCTGCCTCCCCAAGCGACCACAGCGAGCCGTGGGCCCCATCTGACCTCTGGGTCTCTTGAAGGCTGGAGGGGACACTGGAGAGGGCATGGGAGGATCTGGGAGGAGCCTGAAGGCCCCCACGGTCCGCTTCCAGCTCAGATCTTCCGTTAGGGTACGGTCTTTGGTGGTGTTGCTGTGAGTAACTTCCCACGTGGGTCCTTGTTGAGTGTGGTACGAGCATCTCACAAGTCTTGTATCAGCCTCTCTTCTTGGACCTGGTCAGGCTGGTTCACACGTGTGTTGTAAGAGCGCTGTTGCTGAGCTCCAGAGTTCTCATCAACATAATATAATTCCTACTATCCATGCAAGTGTAACTGCATGTTCCCACCTCTGACAGCATCACCACCACCACCACTGGCATCACCACTGCCACTGCACCACCAGCAGCCTCATGACCACTGCCACCACACCACCACCACCAGCATCACCATTACTACCTTCGTCATGGGGGTTTACCATCCTCAGAGACTTGTGTCATGTCCCAGGGAGAAATCCACTGGTTCATTCCCTCTTTTCTATGTGGACAGCATGTCAGCAGGTCTGGGGTCAAGATATAAGTAGAGCATTGTCCAGAGCCTGTCCAGACCTGATGGGCAGTCTGAGATCACCTCCCAGGAGAAGTGTAGGAAGAAGCGTGGTGGCCTGGCCTGAGCAGGGCCATTGAAGGACGTAGCTGCTGTATGAAGCACAGGCCCTCTTTGCCCCTCTGTGTTCCAGAGGGCCCTGTTGAGATGTTAGCAGAGGAGAGAAAGAGCATTACCATCCCCAGAGCCGTCTAGTGGAGCTCGTCAGCCCACTAATGGGCCCAGAGGCTGAACGCGACTCGCTCACCACAGACACTCCCCTGGACTAGGAGCTTGCCCAGGCCTCTCTCGGAAGAAGGCTCCTTGCAGCTGGTAGTGCACCTGTGAGCAAGGTGATGCTGCCTTGACTCAGACCTGCCATGGTGTTAGAGTGATCAGAAGATACCACCCCACCCCGCCTGTGACTGTCCCCACAGAGTCTGCGCTGTCGGGGCCCACTGTTGGAGATGCTGGGGCAGCCGTCACTGAGGGTCTTCTTTTCAGCTGACCCTCCACGTTATTAAGCTGACAGCCCTCTTCCAGGGACTGGCCCCTCCTGATGACGTGGCTGACCTGTGTGAGACACTCTGGCGTCTGAGGAGCACTCTGGGTGTCTGAGGAGCACTCTGGGCGTCTGAGGAGCACTCTGGGTGTCTGAGGAGCACTCTGGGTGTCTGAGGAGCACTCCGGCGTCTGAGGAGCACTCTGGGTGTCTGAGGAGCACTCCAGCGTCTGAGGAGCACTCTGGGTGTCTGAGGAGCACTCTGGGTGCACATCTTCCAAGACGCGTCTGTCCGTCCCTCTGGCGGTCTGTGGTATATTCAGTATTCTTTACCAGCATCCTCATTCAGAGTTGTCAGTATTCTGTGGTCTTCCCCGCTCTCATATGCATATGAAGCAATTGAAAACATTATGGCTCAGGTCAGGTGCACCTCAGTCATGAGTCTTACATCTTTGCTCTTAACACTTTAAAGAAGTCCTTGACAGCAGGTTTCTTTTGCTTTCTTTTTTTTTTAATCTCATATTTCTTTTTAGTATGATTTGAATGAAAATTTACAAATTGTTGGGCGGTTTCTCTCCCCACTTTTTGTTTTCATTTTCCTGCAGTAGTTTACCTTGTATTTATTTACATACATTGCGTCTCACACAATCTTTCATTGACATTATTTCATATTATCATTCATATACTTTGTATTTGACATCATTAATAACCATTGATCCGCATCTATTACTACATGGCCCTGTAAGTCTTTCCTAGTTCTTCATGCCTCTCCCAACTTCATTTGCTTTCTTGGCTGCTGCTTCCACAATTGGAAACGCTTCTCCCTCAGACTTTGCTCTGTGAACTTGTGAATCCAGAACAGAGACAGCTCGGTGCTCTATTGTGACCCTGTGTTGAGCACTGGGGCCACTTTCTTGGCGGATGGGCCCTCAGCTTCCTGCTGGAAGGTGGAGGGAAGGTGGCACCGGCTCTGGGATCTGCAAGGAGGATGGCTTGTCCTTGAGAGACTTCAGCACAGTGCCCGGTGCCCACAGGTGCCCAGGAGGCCCTCGCTCTGCTCCGCTCTCGATGGCATTCCCGTGACAGCCCATCAAAGTGCACCAGCACCGTTGTCCCAGGGTGCATGCGCACATTGTATCTCTAGGTTCACCCTGTCATTCTCTGCATACTTCATACAAAATTCTGTGCCGTTGCACTTGCAGACCCACTGCCACCGAGGGGATTCTGACTTGTGGACCGTCAGTTGGGTTTCCAAGGTGTAACTCACTGGGTAGAGACCTTCCCCTCCTCCCGCAGGGCAGCTGGGGCTTTTGAACCAGGGACTTTGAGATTAGCAGCACGAGACACGCCACCAGTGCTCCTGCTCGACCACCATAGTATGTACAAATTCCACCTCTTTCTGCTAGGAACAGAAGTGCGTGTGGCTGGCTTTATCGTGGGCTTGGCTTTACCACGGTGATCTGTAACCAACCTGTGCTGTCACTGAGGTCTGCTGGTGGGAAGAGGCTCATCTGTGTAGACTGTTCCTTCAGAACTTACTCTGAAGTAATTACAGGGTCTTGGGAACCTGACACTGTCACAGCAACACTCGCAGGGCGCTCTGTGGGGACAGCACTGCTGGTGGTCCCGGGTGTAGGTTTGTGTGGACACTGCTCTGGAGACAGCAGGAATAACCTGTCACCACAGGGGCCTCGCATGCTGTACCCCCTTCTCCAGCACCGCCCGAGCCCGCCAGCCGCTGGCATGTCCTTTTGTCATTGCGATTTTGTCCTGTGAGTGTTGGATCCCTCCAAGTGTACAGCTTTGACCTCTGAGCCTGGCGTTTTGTTTGTTTTTCACTGGAGGCTATTTTGTTTGTGATGTCCCTTTCCTCTTGTCAGGATCTCTGTGCTCTGTCCTTGGAGCCCTGGTGGCCCTGCTGGGTCAGCACTGGGCTACTAAGCAGAAGGTCATTAGTTCAAACCCACCAGTCCACTGTCATAAAGATCACAACCATGACAATTCCGTGTGCAGCTCTGATCTGCCCTGACGACAGCTGTCACTTCAGATTGCCTGGACCCCGGTGATGTGAGAGTGCAGGGGCTGCGGGCATGTACGCAGTCGGCCACCTGGACGCACCTTGTACCCACGACTGTCCCTGTACCTGACCAGAGTCTGCTGGGGCTGACCTTGTAGTTTGTGTGCTGACACCACCCCTCCTAAGTTTAGAGCACAGCGTGCCTTCAGGCGGTGCAGGTGAAGAGCATCTGACTGCTCGTAAGCAGGGTCAGCGGAGGACTCGGGGATACTGTGGAAGAGGAGACCCGGCTGCTGGTAGTTAAGACAACAGCCAGAGCACATCCACATGGACCCGCAGCAGCGACACGTGGAGAACCTCCTCCCATGACTGTCACTATTGCCTTATCCACCAGCTGTAACTAGAAAACTCAGCAGATAAGGAAATCTGCATTTATCCACATTTTCCATTGTTTTTCTTCCTTCCTGATGTTCTCAGATTCCTGTATTTATTTTTAACTTTTTATTGTGATTTGAGCAAAAGTGCAGAGAGCAGATTGGATTTCCAGCCAGCTGTTCATACGCCTTCTGTTTCCTGACCGTAGCACTCTTCCCAGGAGTGTTTCCGTTTGTCCTTCCCTCCTTCTCCACTGTGTCTGGGTGAACGCTGCCCCTTTGAGCTCATACGAGTGGGATTACTGATACTCTTATGAGCCCTTCTATTCTGCTCAAAGTTGAGACACAGTTAATTCCGTTCACTTCCAAGCTGAAAAGGTCATAAGAAGTTCACTGTCATTGTCCCGCACTGCTGAGGTGTGCCACTGTCTCTTCGGAGAAGTTCACTGTCATTGTCCCGCACTGCTGAGGTGTGCCGCTCTCTCTTCGGAGAAGTTCACTGTCATTGTCCCGCACGGCTGAGGTGTGCCTCTCTTTCTTTGGAGAAGTTCACTGTCATTGTCCCACACGGCTGAGGTGTGCCACTGTCTCTTCGGAGAAGTTCACTGTCATTGTCCTGCACGGCTGAGGTGTGCCTCTCTCTCTTCGGAGAAGTTCACTGTCATTGTCCCACACGGCTGAGGTGTGCCGCTGTCTCTTCTGAGCTCTGTCCCTGATGCCGCCTCGGAGTCCTGTGTTGGGTACCGAGTGCAGTTGTTTGGCTTCTCCCCAGTTGCTTTGGCTCTGCTTCTTGACTCTGGGTTTGTGTCTTTGCCCTGGCGCCTTGAGACGCACTCTTGTCCTCACTCTGTTGCGGCCCGAGGCCCTGTTCATGCTCGGTGTCTGTTTTCTGTTGTTCGTCACTCACACTTCTCTGTCCCAGCTGTCCTGCTTTGGGGCTCATCTCTGAGTTATTTCAGTCTCAACTATTGTACTTTTCATTTGGGGCCCTGGTGGTACAGTGGTTAAAGAATTCCGCTTCCAGCTGACAGGTTTGTGGTTCAAACTCATCAGCTGCCGTGCAGGAGGCTCTCAGCTTTGGGAACGATGGGAACACTCTGGGGCGGTTCTCCTGTCCTGCAGGAGTGCTGTGAGCAGAGTGGACTTGACCGTGGCTTTGTTGTACTTCTCTGTTCCAATAACTGTCACTGTGGGTTTACATCTCCTTTCTGTTGTGTGGTGAGGGCTCTGAGACCTACGAGGGGCACTGTCCCTGTCGTGTCACTGTTGTCCTCGCGGGGCTGGAGTCCCTGCATGGCTGTATGGACGCTGTGTATGTAGGCACCTGCACTTGGGGACTCGGTCCCGCTTTGGTGGGCTGGCTCTGCCACTGGCACCCCACCTGGGACCATCTCCCTGGAAGCTCGGGAGCATTTTGAGTTGGGGGTTCTTACCTCCCAATGCAGTGTGCTTCCCCTCCCTTGCCCCACGCCAAAGTCAGTGCTGGTCAGGTGGAACCATGAGACATGCCACTGCACCCTGGGATCCGTCACCTTGATTAGGGACCACAGCTTTTAAGATCATTTCCTGGTGTATTTCTCACCACCTGTGTGTGTGCGCGCGTGTGTACCTCCTGAGAAAAAAGCTCTGTGTGTCTGTGCATGCACGCCTGTGTGAGCGTCCTGGCCCCGCCCCCCAGTCACTGCGCTTACAGAAGAGGGATGTGGACCTCTGAGAACAAAGGGAGGGTGCTTGTGTGTGCACATGTGTGTGTGAGCGTCCTGGCCCCGCCCCCAGTCACTGCACATGCATGAGAGGGACGTGGACCTCCTGAGGACCAAGTTGCGTGTGTACATGTATGTGTACGTGTGTGTGTGTGTGTGCGCTCGCGCGTGTGTGTGCGCGTCCTGGCCCCCCCTCCACAGTCACTGCACATGCATGAGAGGGACGTGGACCTCCTGAGGACCAAGCTGCATGTCTCTGTGTGTACGTGTGTGTGTACTTGTGTGCGTGAGCGTCCTGGCCCCCACTCCACAGTCGCTGCACTTGCATAAGAGAGACATGGACCTCCTGAGGACCAAGCTGCGGCGCCTTGAGGAGGAGAACAGCAGGAAGGACCGACAGATTGAGCAGCTGCTGGACCCAGGCAGGGTGAGGTTAGGTCTGGTCCCTCTCTGCAGAACAAGTGGGGCCCAGGGCACCGTGTGTTATCTGACTTCTTCATCTGCTCGTCACAGGGCCCAGACTTCATTCGGACACTGATGGAGAAGAGGCCTGACACTGGCTGGGTGAGTACTGTCCCCAGCAGGACTGACCACATCCCTCTTATGCATGTGCGTTGACTTCCTGTGATAACTGCCTGCACTCGAGAGACACTGTACAGGAGGCGTGACAGTGCAGGGCAGGGCTCAGGACCTCCTCCAACCACCCACGCTAGAACCACGGGGATTCCATGAAGAGTGACCAGTACAGGGCAGGACCTAGAACATTCTAAAATCATCCACGATAGAACCACAGGGATTCCAAGAAGAGTGAAAAAGAGGGACAGGTCCAGAACATTCTAGCATGTTCCTCCATAGTACTACAGGGATTCCAAGAAGAGTAAGAGATAGAAGGACCCAAAACCTTCTAAAACCATCCAAGATAGAATCACGGGGATTTTGAGAAGAGTAAGACAGAGAGAAGGTCCCAGAACATTCTAAAACCACCCAGGATAGAACCGTGGAGATTCCATGAAGAATAACAAATACAAGGAAGGATCCAGAATTCTGAAACTGTCCTCCTTAGAACCACAGGGATTCCAAGGAGAGAAAGGGAGGGACCTAGAACATTCTATAACCTTCATAGAACCACGAGGATTCTGAACAGAGTAAGAGAGAAGGAAAGGCCCAGAACATTGTAAAACTGTCCTCCATAGAACCACAGGGATTCTAGGAAGAAGCTTCAGGAGTTGTTGGCACTTGAAGGTAACTGAGCAGCTCACCTGCCATAAAGACCAAAAACCCTGTGTAGAAAAGCGTTCCCCACAGCGAGGATCTCCCCACAACCTGAAAAATACCGTCTGTGTAAGCACGGACAGTGATTCAAAAGACCAGCCAGCAGTCGCTCATCTCCTGGAGGGGCTGCCTCTTTTGCACACAATGAATCGGGCTTATCAGGAGGGCCTGGTCACTGGAGGAGGACATGCTTGGTAAAGAAGTTGTTGTTGAGGGGGAGCTCTGGTGGCCTAGTGGTAAGGAGCTGCAACTACAATCCCAGAGACACATGGTTCAAATCCACCAGATGCTCTGCCAGGAAAGGAGGGACAATCTCCTTCTGTACCAGTCAGATCTGATCTGACGGTACACAGACACACATACACAAAATAATAAAAAAAAAGAAAAGAAGTTGTTGTTGTATACCGTCGGGTCAGAGCCAGCCCCTAGCAGGCCTCCAGTGGGTTTTCAGAGACAGGATTTAAGTGCACAGGAAGAGATGGCCGTCTATCTCTGCAGAGCAGCCGGTGGATTCCAACCGCATGCCTTTGAGTTGGCATCTTAGCGTCTTACTCCTAAGCCAGCACAGCTCCGGGTAAGAGCCTTGGTAAAAGGGGAGGCCCCTCCACGAGCCGGGGCTCCCCGGAGACGGTGAGGATAGCACAGGACTGGGCAGGGTTTGGAGCTGTCTGTGGGTCACTGCGAGTCGGAGCCACCAACAGCAGTCAGTCTGTGAGCGAGTGGATATTTTCATAATAAAATGTACATTAGCTAAGAGCAAACCCAGAAAGCTGTAGAGTGGTGGTTTGCAAATGGATGTCGTCTTGCTTGATGTTCGGTTCCGTCCCCTCCCTTTTTTCCTACTGTTGTTAAGAGCACACACAGCAGAGCACACACCAGTTGAACCGCCTCTGCGTGCCTCGTCCAATGACAGTGACCGACCGGAGCCCTGGAATTGGGTACTCATTCTCGCCTTTCGCTGAGTCTCTCCTCCCAGGCCACTTGAGCTCACTGTCCCCACACCTCCTGCTGAACCACTCTGGGTGCAGTGATCAACTCCATCGGTGTAGAGGGTGACAGGGCAGGTGACACGATAGGCCAGTCTGTCATGTGCGGCAAAGACTTTGGAGTGTTGCTGGTAGGAGGTTTAAAGTCCACACCTTATTTTTAAAAGTAGTAAAGTGAGGTGTGCAGGAACTAGCCCTGGCTGCAGGGTGCTGGCCTTGGGGCAGTGGTGTCTCTGTCTCAAGCGCCCAGGCTGTCGGCTCCCCCAGCGCAGCCTCCCTCCTGAGCCATGGACAGGGACAGCCTGTGCTCACAGCAGGGCTGACACGTGGCTCAGGTGTGGGCCAGGGCTGGGGAGGAAGGATCCCTCGGGGAGGCCGGCAGTGCCTCTGGGTGTGACGGCGCTGACTGCTCAGGATTATTGCGTTGCTGTTGGAGGTGCCGTCAAGGCAGTCGGCTCCCCCTCCATGACCTGTGTGTGACAGGAAGCCCTGTCCAGCCTGCGCCTGCCTCCCCGTCATTGCCCGGGCCTTGGCCACTGTGTCAGCCCATCTCCTTTACCAAGCAGGCTGTCCTCTTCCAGGACAGGTCCCTCCTGCTGACATGCCCCAGTTTGTGAGGTGCTGTTGTGTCCCTGGCCCCAGGAGGAGCGCTCTGGCGCGTGCTGGTCTGCTGGGTGACCGCTGGGTTAGGCCTTGTCACAGGAACCCAGGGCAGGACCAATCTGCCTTGTGCCGTTCCAGCTGCCTGGGGTTGAGGACAAGGGAGGCAGAGGCCATTCCAAGCTGGCTGCTGCCACATCAGCGTGTGTAGATAAATGTCACAGGGTGGAAGTGAGGGCACAGTCCTCGGTGTGAAGGTGCTGTGGGTGGACCCTCCGAGCTTTCCTCATTCCCGTTTTTACAGACCCTGATGACAAGTGGCCACCCAAGTGGTGCTCGTGTCAGTTCAGGTCATTGCCATGGCCACCAAGGAGCCCTGGTGATACAGTGGCTAAGAGTTACACTGCAGACGAAAGGGTTAGCGGTTCAGACACGCCAGCTGTGCCTTGGCAGAATGAGGCAGCCGCTTCGGGCAGTGTTACACCACTGCCGCCCAGTGTCCAGCAGGGGTAGCTGTGTATCTGGACCAGGGGCCTGGCCAGGAGTTCCACTGACAGGTCATCTGGTCACCAAAACTGACCCCACTCTGAGTGTCCACAGGAGGAAAATGAGCTGGGGCCGGGCAGTTGGCCTGGGGAACAGGGAGCAGGTTCAAAGATGGGCAGAGACCACGGGGTGCTCGCTGAGGTGAGCAAGTACCATGGCAGCCAGGCAGATTCACCCACCACCAGAGTCTGCATGTGTGTGAGGGATGATATCACGCATGCACGTGTGTGAGGGAAGATCCCACGCACGCACGTGTGTAAGGGGGATCCCATGCATGCACGTGTGAGGGGCATAATCCCATGCACGCTCGTGTGTGAAGAGGATCCCATGCACATATGTGTGAGAGACAGGATCCCACGCACGCTCGTGTGTGGGGGGCACTCTGCACGTGAGGAAGAACCCCCATGTGTGGGAGGGAGGACCCCATGTGTGAGTGTGTGAGGATATACACTGGATGGAGGCAGTATCTTCTTGGTTTGGGGTGTCCAGGAAGGAGGGCACTTCACAGCTTTGTGGGGTGTTTTAAGCTGCCCTAGGGGTACAGTGGTTAAAGCAGGAAGGTGCCAGCCCAGGTGTTGGTGGTTCAGATCGAGCAGCCACTCTGCAGGAGAGGGAGGTCAGTCTCCTGTCAGGACTGGAGTCTGCTGAGGGCCCCGTGAGGGGGGCCTGACTGGACATGAGCAGATTGAGGAGCCACTAGGTGTGTTTGAACCCTCAGCCTTTCAGTTAACAGCTGAGGCTTTAACTGGGAAAGCCCACTGCTGGGATTCACGTGACCCTCAGTTGGGTCCCTGAGGCTAGTTCTTTGTGGGAGGAGAAGGCCCATCTTCTGTCTCCTGACATAGAGGCTCCTGGATGTCCTCATGTGGCTGTGTGGCCAGAGGTCCTGCGCCTGCCCCCTGGGGTCTCTTCCTGCAGCTCACTCAGCGTCCCACACTGAGGGCTGCAGCTGGTCAGGCCCCGAGGCGCTGTCCAGAGAGAAGGTGCTGGTCCCGAGCTCCTGCCTTGTTGGAAGTTGGCTTGGCACCCTCAGCCCCCTGTGCTCTGCTGGCAGGTGGTCAACGGGCTGAAGCAGAAGATTCTCAAGTTGGAACAGCAGTGCAAGGAGAAGGACAGCACCATCAGGTACGGTGCTCCACCTGCCGGGGAGGGGACTGATGCCCGGGGGAGGGGACTGATGCCCGGGGGAGGGGGACTGATGCCCGGGGGAGGGACTGATGCCCTATGTGGAGAGGATTGGTGTCTCGTTTAGGAGGTGACTGAAGCCCTGTGAGATTTGGGGGTTAGACTCCCAGTCCCCAAGCTAGGGAACTGATACCCTGCCAGCCCAGACATGATGTGAGAATGGTCCTGGCTCCCCACTGGGGGGCTGACACCTCCCTTGCCCTTTGTCAGTCAAAAAATGCTGTTTCTAGCCCTTCACGTGTGACATGTCCCCGCACCGCGCCCTCTTCACCCCATACACTGGAGGACCAAGGCCCCTCCCCGTCCCCGCCCTCCCCTCACTCAGGACCACAGTCTTTAGCCAGGTCTCATTCCTGTTCTTGAAGGCAGGCTTTCTCGGGGTCTCCTGTGGTTCTCCCAGAATTGTTGCTCAGGCCACCTCTGCTAGGCCTGGCTCTGCAGCACAGGGGTCCTCGCGCGGCCCAGGGTCTCTTCTTGCGTGTCCCCCTCCCCACCCCACCTTTGTTTCTTACTGGACTTGGTGGCTCACGTACTTGATTTCTCCTGGGTTCCAGAACCCTGAGCCCCGAGCTGTGACTGTTGCCTCCCTGGCAGAAGCTGTTATGTGCTGGTGTCAGGTGCAGTCGAGGCAGCGCTGCCCCTCAGAGACTGCACCCACGGCAGGAGCCCGGGCCGCGCCCTCCTCGCCAGCTGGCCTCAGGCAGGGAGAGGCTGCCCCCTCCACTTGCCTAAGCGTCTTGTCCTCCTCCCGGCCTTGGTCCCTTGATAGCATGTCGGAAGTACGTAAGATGAAGTCTCACTGGTCTGGCTACTTGGGAATTCCGGTTGTCCTTCCTCCAAGACACGCTTGTTCTGGCAGCCCGGGGCTCAGGCAGCCATTCCTCCTCAGTCGTATCTATTGACTGCCCAGCTTGCAGATGCACCTTAGTCCTCAAGGTGTGCTGAGTACAGGTGGGCTAGCCTGGATCAGGAGGACAACGACCCTCTCTGAGAATGAGCCGTTCTTCCCCACTTGTCCACATAGAGCCCTCCCTGAGCCCTGGGCTTGCCCATGACATCATCGTCAAATGGAAGACTTTCTAGAGGCTTCTTTTCCTTCCCATGGGCAGTCCACACAGAAAGACTGCTTTTAGGCACCGTGGAATCAGCCATCAGTCTTAAGATGAGACTTGTCCAAGCAGGGCTGCCACAGGGTGGACTCGGATAATTTCTGTCCCCGGCCAGTTCCCTTTCACACCTCCGCGCTTTGCCATGGCGGGACAGCGGGCATGCGCACTCCGTCTGCGGAGAGGCATTCACGAGCTGACTGTCCTCTTCATTCCTAGCAAGCTCCAGAGCGACATGAAGACCACCAACTTGGAAGAGATGCGGATCGCCATGGAGACGTACTATGAGGAGGTGAGCAGGAGGCAGGCCTTGGGGGGCTGCACGGTGGTACCTGCCCTGCATGCGCCCCTCAATGCCCGTTTCCCCGGGAAGAGCTGGTTGGCCCTCGTGCAGTGGCTTTCATGCACTTGAACTTGGCCTTTGCAGATCCAGCGCCTCCAGACGCTCTTGGCAAGTTCTGACGTCTCAGGAAAGAAGTACGGCTCTGAACACGAGGACTGTCTCCTGTGGTGTCTCCGTGTCATGGGTCGCCCCTCACTCTAGTGGGATTGTCACCACATGCTGGGCTAGATCGCACACAGGCTCATGCACTTGATGCATCTGCAGCCGGTGCTTACATACCACCGTCACTGTGCGTGCGCATGTGGCTTCACAGGGCCCCACGAGAGTTGTGCACTGCAGGGTCCCTCACGTGATGGGTCCTGAATGTCTGGTGCAAGCTGGCCTTGCCTCGTTAAGTCTTTCTAGACTGGCTCACTGGGGGCCCTCGGGGCTGCCCCATCTTCTGCGTGTCTTTTGCCCACACTGTCCCAGCCTCTCCTAGGTGCTGGCCATCACCGCCTTTTGCAGCTACTGCGGACACTTAGGGGCATTGATGCCTGGCCAAGCACGATCATCCCTTTCTTCCTTACCCTTCGTGGTTTCAGGGGACTTAGCAGCACAGTGCTTAAGCACTCAGCTAGCTGCTAACCAGTGGGTTGGTAGTTTAAACCCTCCAGCTGCACCTGGGGCGAAAGTGAAAGCAGTCTGCTTCCAGCTTGGAAACCCCGGGGCAGTCCCACTCTGTTCTCCAGGGTCGCTGTGGGTATAAGCCAGCTACAGGCACTGGGGTCTTTAAATGTTGTCTGTCAGGTCAGAGGCCAGATGGTGATCATCTTAGACTCTGACACAAAACTGGAGGCTCCATCCAGAGGAAGCCACTTTCTCCCACGGCCTGGGGAGGGCGTTTGAACCAAAGGAGTGGGGCCTGCTGGGGGGCTCTGGGGACTGCATACCACTCACCTGGGCTCTGCCTGGCCTCCCGTAGCTCTCGGTGTCTGCTCAGCCCGGCTGACGCCCCCAGGCTCCCCGCAGAGAAGAAGGTGAGCCTGAAGCGGCAGAAGAAGATGAACGTGGTGCTGCTGAACCTGTCTCGGAGCGTGCAGGAGCTGACCGACGAGAACCAGAGCCTCAAGGAGGACCTGGATCGAGTGCTCAGCAACTCGCCCTCCTCCTCCAAGGTCAAGGGTACGTGGGTCTGCTCCCCAGGGATGGGGCGGGGAGGGGGCCCTGGCACTCACACAGCAGCTCCACCCGCCCACACCTGCTGTAGGTTACATGGAGTGGAGCAAACCCAGGCTGCTGAGGCGCGTCTCAGAGCTGGAGAAGGTGAGCGGCTGGAGAAGGCGTCGGAGACGGGTCACGGAGGGGCTGTGTCCACACCTGAGAGGGAACGCTTACTCCCCCGTGAGGTGTGGCTCCAGGCTTGGGAACCAGGACACGGCATGGTGGAGCCCCAGCCACATGATGCCACGGGTGGGCACCTGCCTGGATGATGGTGGTGTCAGTGGGCCAGACTGAGAACCTTCCAGAACCCAGTCTGGTCTCTATGTGTCGTGGGCAAGTTCTCAGACTGCTGTCATCAATGTTCGGTGCTGGATAATTCCCCAGACTCATCCACATCCCGCTCTGTACGAATGGCCATGTCCTGCACTCCCAGCCTTCCGTGCCCATCAGCTGCCCTGTCCCCACACGTCCCGTGAATCGTCCGTGGTATAGCTAGCCCTCCATACCACCCATGTCCCCCTCTGTCCATGTGTCTCTTGCAGCCCCTAGCCCTCCACAGCTCTCGGGGGCCTGAGCCCCACTGTGGCCTCTCACCCCTCCCTTGGCTGACCTCATCAGAAAGCAGAGCTTGGAGCGATGCTAACAATGTCCGTATTGCCTCTAGAAAATAGCTTTACTAGAAAGTTCCAAGTTGAACTCGTCGGAACTGGTGAAGTCCTGCCCTGTGACCCACGCCTCAGCCAGCCCCTCAGCACCCAGGCAACCCCGTGCAGACCAGCAGGAGGGGCCCAAGCAACTGCACAGCGTCCTGAAGAGCCTGAGAGGCGAGCGTGCTACCCTGCACACCCAGCTGCAGGAGAAGGAGTACGTGCCCGTCCCGTCCCATCCCGTCCCCGTCCCTGTCCCATCCCGTCCCATCCCAGCCCATGCTGTCCTGTCCCGACCTTTCCATCCTGTCCCCTCCCATGCCAGGCAGCGGGATGCGGTTACCTGAACTCCAGGTGCCAGCTTTGGCTAGCTGGAGCACAGTCTGTCCCCGATAGATGAGGCCCGTGAGAGCAAGTGCTCCCTGCCCAGGTCTGCTCACCTGGTTAAAGCACCTGATGCTAAATGAAAGGTCACAGCCACTGGTCAGGTGAAAGATGAGTCTGGCCACTTCTGTAAAGACACAGTTGCGGAACCTTGGGGGGCAGTTAGGCTCTGTCCTGTGGCCTGGCTGTGAGTCAGAATCGCTTTGGTGGCCACGAGCTGGCCTTGGCCACCCGGCCACATCCACAGGCTCTGCCTTCACTCACGTGGTTATAAATGAGAGCCTTTGCTGCCCTTCTGCCCGCTGTGTCTCCTGCTCTCAGGTAGGCGCAGCGGCTGAAGGTGCCCTGTTTTCTGAGGGGTCTCCCTGCCCTCTGCTTGCGCTCTGATACCAGCCTGTTGCTGGGATGGATGCTGAGATGTCTTTGCCTCTCTGCACTCAGCTTGGAAGTGGAGCAGCTGCTGCAGACCAAGGCTGACCTGGAGAAGGAGCTGGAGCTCGTGAAGGAGCGGGACAGGGAGAGGCGGGGTCAGGAGGAGGCGCTGAGGTGAGAGGTCTCAGGGCGAGCACAGGCGGACCTTGGGGTGCTGGAGCAGATGAGGGAGGGGCGGGGTCAGGAGGAGGCGCTGAGGTGAGAGGTCTCAGGGCAAGCGCAGGCGGACCTTGGGGTCCTGGGAAGCAAGGACCATGCTTGCTTCCCGTTGTGGTCTTTTGAAGGCGCTCTGGTGGGTAAGGAGGTCAGATGTTGAGCTCTAGCCAGAGGGTCAACATTTTAAACCCTCTAGCCCCCGTGGGGCAAAGTTGAGGCACCTCCTTGCATAAAATCACAGCCTGGGAACCCAGCGCTTTGGGACTGATGTGTCGGAAGGAGGTTTTGGATCCTCTGTTAACTGTGCAGTGGCACTGTGACGGTGGTATTCTGAAAACCACCACAGTGGGGCCCAAAGACGTGAGCATGAGCCCTTGGAAACACACACGCACGCGTATCTGCAAAGTGCAGTGAAGTGTATGTAGTGCAGGAGACGGAGGCCGACCCACCCCCAGAATCTCCAGCACGCCCTGCTTCCAGTGCTGCCCGCCCCCGCCTGTCCTCACGTAGCTTCCAGAACGCTCTAAAGCTGCAGCCTGATGAGTCAGTCCTCTCCCAGTAGTCCCTCCCTTGGAATCCAGACTGGTGAGGCTCCTCTGTGACCTGCCCATGTGGACCTGCCCTCCCTGTGTGCCATCTCTGACACCTGTGTGCACCGTGGGGCTAGACTCGGCTCAGGTGTCGGGGGCGTCCAGCCACCTTCCCTCCCAGGGTCTCCGTCTCAGCAGTCAGATAGCAGACACTGGCCACACGGTGTAGTCCATCCACTCACAGGACTGTTCCTCGGCTGTAATGAGACCTCACGTCCTGTTGGGCTCTGTGTGGCACAGATGAGCCTTGAAGGTGGTGCACTGAGAGAGAAGGCAGACGTGACGCCACGTAGATGGAGTTATCCGGAGCACATAGATTGATGCAGAGATGGCAAGCAGATTAATGCCCGTTGGCATCAGGTCACCTCCAGCTCATGGTGACCCTGGACGACAGAAGAGAATGGCCCCAGAGAGGGACTGTCAGCAGCCCAGGGCTTGACCACTGCAGCACCAGGACCCCTGAGGATCCAGAGGGACTGCTCAGGTGTTGCGTTTCCTGTAACAAGTGATAGCAATGTCCTCAAATCACTGGTGGCTGGACCACATTCCAAACGTGCCAACGCTCCTTGCACGGTGCCCCTTACCACAGCCCGTTACACTACGTGAACTCATCACAGTCGTGAAATAATAACTAGAGTAGAAACCTGGCCAGAACCAATTACCACTCACATAATTAGCCGGATTTTAAGAGAACAAATTGCATTTTAGAAATTTATTTCAGTGGAAGCTCCACTAGATCTTGTGAGGCGACTGGACTCAACTCTGCGCGGACCTGCTTTCACCCTCCCTGGGCTGGCGGAGGAGACGTGTTCAGTGGCTTCAAGCCACGAGTGACTTCAGGTGGCTGCGGCTTCGAGGTTGTTGGTTCAGATCCACCTCCCAGCTTCTTGGAAGAACTGCTTCTGTGGAGGCCATTAGGGGCTGGCGCGTCTGCCTCGCCTCATGGTGACCTGAGGACCCAGCAGGAGCCCTGCCCAATGCTGCTCGCATGACAGGCTCTGCAGGGCCTGAGCCATTGTTGCAGTCACTGTGTCAGCGCATCTCAGTGAGTGCTTCACGCCACCTCCACTCCTCAGTGTGCTGGCCTCCCCCGGGGCTTCGTCTCCCAGCAGTGCATCCTGTGTACGGGGACCCAGTCCCCCCCTCTCGCTCCTTAGGGGACCTCTGGGGCCCCAGCTGGGTCTCTGTAACGTGAGTTGCATTGCGGTGGACTTGAACAGCAGCAGGAACATGACCGTCACTGAGGCCTTGTCGTGGGCCTGCCCGAGGCCTGGCTCCGAGGGAGGCAGTGAATCCCTCCCTGGGCCAGCGCTGCCCAGTGCCCATGGCCCCCTCTCCCCAGGTGCCCTCAGCACTTGACATCTACCTCTGTTTCTCCTTCCCCATAGAGAGCTAGTGCAGACCCTGACCAAGAAGCTTCAGGACCTGGAAGACGCTGAGAAGGACAAGATTGCTGGCCCCACGGAGCCGACTCACGAGGTACAGTCGGGCGTGGACTCAAGGATGTGGGTGCATTGTCTACGGACCATGTGTGGACGCCCCGTCTCCCAGTCACAGCTCATCTTTGTGGCCACAGTTGTGGGGGTGGCCCTGGTGTCACTGTGGGGACACAGTCAGTACACCCGATGATGAGGGTCTTCATGTTCAGGCTGCCCCATCCCCTCCTCACGTTCACTGGTTTGGGCCCAGAAGACCTGCTGGCTGGCTGAGCCCCAGGCCATGTGTAAGCCCCCCAGGGGTGTGTCCTTCCAGAAAGGGCCCCCTGCTAGAGAGGTGAGCTTGTTCTGGGGCTCAGCCATGAAAATGAAGGCACTTTAACCATGAATTTTTTACTCTCAAGGCCAGTTCACTTAGCTGGCTCCTTCACTGTCGAGTCTGGTCTTCTCTTCAAGCAGCTCTGGTGGTGCATTGTGTTAAGTGTGTACAGCAGAGTAAACCCTGCCCAGCCCTGTGCCATCCTCACAGTCATTGCTTGCCCCTGGTCATAGTCCTGGTCACTGGGGCACTTCCGCCCTTTCCCGGACCCTCCTCTTCTGCCCACACCGTGATGTCCTTCCAGGGATCCGCCTCTCTTGACTACAAGCCCAAAGTCTCTGCCTCCCCGACTCTGAGGAGCCCCAGGCTGACTTTCCGTGACAGCAGCTTGTCCTTTGTCAGCCCTTGAGTCTTCCCTCCTCCCTCTTTCCCCTTTACATCTGTCTGCTGTGGAGTTCAAAGGCAGCAGGAGGAGCTTGCGGGTGTGTGATGCTGGATTCAGCAGTATGTCAGGTTGGCGCTGACCCCGTGCGCAGTGGACCCGGATGTCTCCCAGCCCTGCGCATCCTCTCCGTTGCATGCCTGTCCCGGCTGGTCCTGGCCGTTGCTGTGTGCTCTGAGTGCCTTCCGCCGGGGGCCATAGCTTACGGTGCTGTGTTAAACAGCGTTCCGTGGTGGTCTGGTGCTGAGGTTTCTAAATTGTGGTGTTAAAGGTGACCAAGCAGAGTCACTTTGCACTTGACAGTTGCTGCCCATTTATGACTTTGGCTGCAAGGCCGTCACCATGGCAGCACCTTCTCCACTTCCTCCTGGGCCGCTCCTCCTCCCCTGCCCCTTCCTGCTCTTGAGCTTAGCATCCATGGAGCTTTTATCAGCTAGTTTTCAGGAGTCAGTCACCAGGCCTTTCTTCCTAGTCTCTCAGTCTGGGTGCTCCATTGAAACCTGTCCTCCATGGGTGACCCTGCTGATGTTTGACCCACTGGTGGCACAGCTTCCAGCAGTATCACAGTTACAGGCCAGCCACACAGGATGACAGGGAAGCTTGGAAAACAGGAACAGCGTCATTGAGACAGGAGTTGTTTCTGTTCCCGTGTCCTTTGTTTCCGATCCAGGTTTCCCTTCTCCATGTAAGAGTGGGACCACCTTTAAAAATGTGGCCCACAGAAGTCACTGCCTGCTCAGCACAGGTGTCAGAGCCAGCAGAGGTGAGATGTGGGATTGTTGCCTGTATTCACAGCATTTGTCTGTGCTGGTGCTGCAGGTTGGTGGCGGCTGCCTGAGAGACATAAGTGCTGCGGGTAGTGGAGCAGTCCACAGCCATGGGAGAGGACCGTGAGCGTCAGGCCAGGGGAGCAGCACACAGCCGTTTGAGAGGACCGTGAGCGTCAGGCCAGGGGAGCAGCACACAGCTGTGGGAGAAGCCTGTGTGCAAGAAACCATGAGATAGGCCTGTGTGGTCTGTGTGTACTGACCGGAACAACACCTGAGGCCCGTTTGAGGAAAACAAGTCCCTCCCCACACCAACACACAGATAAAGGCAATAGCTGATCCCATTTTCTCTTTTTAAACTTCTACATAGATTAGAATCCACCAGATGCTCTGCTGGAGGAGGGGCGATCTCCTTGTCAGTTGGATCCAGTTTGATGGCACACAGCAAGAAAAGTAAAAAAAAAAATTCTACATCGAAAATGTATTATTTCCTCAGCTTAGGGAGCTCTGGTGGTTGTGCTGCAATCCCAAAGGCACAAGGTTCAGATCCACCAGATGCTGCGGGTGATTCCAGCTCCACGACACGCGGCACCACGGCTGCCTCTGAAGGTGCCTCTTCAGTGCTCCCCCTTTCCTGCATCTGTTGGTCTTGTCTGGATTCTTGACAAGCACTGTGAGCTTCGGGGTTTTGCAGCTGGAGAAGTGTTCCTGGGACTGATTGAGAGGCCATGGGCTTCCGGGGAGGGAAGACCCGACTGAGTAACCAGATGACTAACTGGATCTAAATGGAGTGCTGTGAGTCAGGCATTAGCAGCTGCCTCAAGGAATTTATAGATGCGTCAGAATGTAGAGTTGTTTCGGCTGTTTGCCAAGAGTTACTCGAGTCTATGTTCCTTCAGCGTCTTAGGAACCAAGCTTACCTTCTGATCAGATTGGTGCAGACCAGACGTTGGCAGATGGTCCCTGCGTGTGTGAGGCGAGTGGTGTGAGGCAGTGGCTCTGCGGCCCGCAGAGGCTGGAACAGAACCAGCCCAGGCCGGCCTCGGTGCACGGAGCCTGTTCTCTCACATTAGGAGCCCAGGTTCACGCTCAGGGTGTCTGCCCCAGAGGCCCGCGTTCTCTTGGTGTCCTTCCAGCCTCTGTGCCGGGGCTCCCTTGGAGACCACTGTGTTCAGCTACCGGCCTTGCCCTGTGCCTTGGAGGTTCCACAGGGCCCGTCTCATTTTATGTCTGATGAGAGACCTAATCATACCATCCTCACCCTGCCTCATTAACGTAACTTCCCCTAGGCCTGACCCCTTAGCATCATTATTAGCTGATCCTCATTTGATGCATAGCAAGTAATTGTGAAGACTGCGGCCTGGATCACGCACACCTTATTCTCTACACTGACATCCGTGCTTCTCAGCACTCTGGAGAGGTCCCTGATGGCAGATTTTCCCAGTGCAATTCCTGTTTTGATTTCCTGACTGCTGGTGCCCAGAGTATCAGCTGTGGAGTAAGCAAGCTGAAGCTGTTTACCTCCTCAGTCTCTTCTCCATCCGTCCTGGTGCTGCTAGCTGGCCCAGTGGTGAGAATCTGTCGTCTTGATGTTGAGCTTCAATCCATATTGAAGACTATACCATGAACTACCAAGAAAACAAATAGCTCTGTCTTGGAGTGGGTGAAACCAAGTTTCTCCTTGGAGGCTAGGATTTTGAATCTCCGTCTCATATACTTCGGGCACGTGGCCAGGAGGGACCAGTTCTTAAAGGAGGACATCACACTCAGAAGGATGGAGGGACGGCACAGGAGAGGAGGACTCTGGATGAAATTAATTGATAACTGGGGCAATGGGAGTTGGTGTGGCAGAGGCCGTGGGACTGGCTCAGGACAGGGCAGGCTTCAGAGCTGCTATACGTAGGGTCACTATAGTTACAGGTGACTCGACAGCACAGAACAATCCTTGTGTGGACACAGGCACACCCCACATAGAGGGGCATCGTCCCCGGTCACATCGTGGAGGGTGGTCACATCCTCACAGAGCTCATTGGTCACAGGGAGCCGAGATCACGGCCGGCCTGGTGACAGTCCCTGACTGAGATGAGTCCTCACTGAGTAGCAGGGCCGGAACGTCCAGTGAGCACAGGGTCTTGGCAGACAGTGGAGAGCTCCTGGGAGTCGGTGGACCAGCCCCCCGTGTGTCCCTGGAGGGCGTCCAGAGCGCCTTCTGTCTTACTCAGTGGGACATTTGCCGTCTGGTGTGTCCCCACTAAGCTGGCCTAGGAGTGAGGAACGCAGACCAGTGTTCTTACTATCCTTACAGATAATTGGGAGGCCTGGCAGTTCAGTGGTTAAAGAACTCCACTGCTAACCAGAAGTTGGGCAGTTCAAGCCCAGTACCCGCTCCATGGGAGGAAGATGGACAGTCTTTTGTAAAGTCTTAGAACCCCCTGTTGGCAGTTCTCTGCTGTCCTCCAGGGTCGCTGTCCAGATGATGGTCACGGCCTCCACTCCCGAGTCTCTCCGCTGTAAAACCACGCCTGAAGTGTATCAAGTTTAATCCCAGAAGCCCTCTTTTTGTCAAACAGCCTGAATGAAAGATCCCACGAAGGACCTAGCAGTCTGACAGCATCCTGACAGTGCTAGACGTGTCTTCACCGATTGTGGGAGGCCAGCTGCAGCCTTGTGGGGCCTCTTCTGAGACATCGTGTCTGGGAGGCTGAGGGTGCCCCACGCAGGCTCCGAGACGTCCTTTCCTGGCGTGGGCCGTGTCCCTCCCACGAGCCCAGTGATGCTGTGCTGAGCTCTCTGGCAGTTTCCTCTAGATTGAAAAGGCCCTCAGCGGGTGCTCCCACCTCTGCTGACCATTCCTCACACCTTCCTTTCCCTCAGATCCAGGAAGACCCCTGGGAACCTCACACCCCCAGCAGCTGCTCCCCGCAGACCCGGGAGCCTGACACCAGTGCTGCATGCTCACGGCCCCCCTCTGTCCAGTCAGCTGGGAGCCGGGAAGACAAGCAGAGGGACACAGCGGCCAGGCTCCTGCAGGCCTGGTGGAGGACATGCCACAAGGTGAGGACTGGGGACCCAATGGCTCCTGCGTCCGCAGCCCATGAACGTGTCAGCTCCGTGGGCAGTGGAAGGGGGGGTATAGATACCCCAAGCACACTGCCGAGAGGCAGAGCTGACGGCGAGGGAGACAGGGTGTTGGGTACGGGCCCCTGAGGGACAGACGTGCAGGAACCGCTGCATCCTGGGAGCTGTTTGTCAACTCCCTGGGTCCAGCCGGCTCACATGATGGGGGTGGCAGATGAGGCCAAAGCTGGCAAGTCCCAGGGACACTAGCTTCAGGACAGATGCCACCTGACCATCCTGGTCCCCAAGCCCTGTCCCAGCATCACAGTGTCAGCCAGAGACGAGGGGCATGCGGCCAGATGACATCAGCTGCAGTGGGAAGGGTCTGTTTGGGGTTTCACAACTTTTTATGGTCGTTTCTGTGAAAGTTGACAGAGCGCATTTGCTTTCCAGTCTTTGTTTTGTGACGCTGATTCTCACACTGGTCGTACCCTTCCCATTCCTCCCTGTTTGCTGTTTCCATTTGTCCTTCTCTCCTGCACCATCTGCCTTCTGCGTGTTCTCGCTAGGTGGGTACTGCCTGCCGTGCAGGGTCAGAAATTACCTGAGACCCTCTTTCTGGAGCTCCCCGAGAGGACAGCGTGGTCTGTCAGAGGGAGCTGGGGGTCATCAGGCCTCGTGCTGCTCCTGAGAATATCTCCACTCAGTCACTCTGAGCCAACTCTCGAGTCAGGCCCAGCCCCGCAGAAGACCTCCCACCCCACACGTGCGCGCGAGGTTGACACGGGCGACCCCTCAGCAGCTCACGTCTGCCCCTCGGTGACAGGGTTCTTTGACAGACTCTCTGTCCCGTTCCAGGACACTTTAGTCGGTGTTTATTCGGCTTTCTGCCCTGTTTGTCCTCCCCTCCCAGCCCCTGGCCCCTCCCGTCCTCCGCTGCGCAGGCCCCTCGCACAGGTGCCACGGTCCCTGCTCAGCTGGCTGTCTCCTCACCTGACGGGCTCAGCTTTCCCCGCCCTCGTGGACAGGACCTTCAGCAGGACACAGGGGTCTGCTCGGCCACAGGGAGACCAGTGCTGCACCTGCGTCAGCCCACACCCACATCAGAGAGCTTTACGTTGGGCAGCTCTGCCTCGCCTCGCCCTAAGACGCAGGAGGACCTGCACTGAGGCTCTGAGGCTGCCCGGTGCTGAGCACCACTGTGGGTGCCGCCTTTGCAGCAGCTGTGCTCGTCTGCGTGTGCCCGCTCTGTGCTCTCTCTGTGCCCCTCGTCTGTGTCTGCTTGTGCCCATTCTGTTGTGCCCGCCTGTCTGTGTGTGCCCGTCTGCGTGTGCCTGTTTGGGTCCTCGTTGCACTGTTGCACACTTGGTAGAAGGTAGTCAAATGGAAGCAGCACCCTTCTGTGCATTTGGAAACCAGAACGCCTGGGACTCCGTGGGAGGGAAACTGGCGTCTGCCTGCCACATTCCACGTCCGCAGGCTCTGATCCAGCCGCTGGGGCCTTAGGGCTTCTCTAGCCAGGCCGTCTTTTTTCAGTCTCTCTCGTTTGATCGAATGTCTGGGAGAACCTAGCTGCGGCCGTTGGGTCTGCACACACTGCTCTGTGGCACCGCCTGCTCCTGCTTCACACCGTGTCCCCTTCTCACTGTGGCCGTCTGGTGTCACCTCAGTGACTTGGGTTCCTCCTTTAGGTCATTACTGACGTTGCACTTCAGCTAAACTAAACCACTGTATGTAGATGATTTCAGATCGCACTGTGAAGATTGTCTCAGATCAATAGATTTGAAAGTTCTTTTCCATCTCAGTAGATCCAGTAAGTCTGAATTACATATTAACCTCCCCCAATTTGATCAGGACACTTGGATTGAAATCTTAAGTAACAGTAACTGAACACTGCCCAGTTCTTCTGGTCTCCCAGCAAAGGGGACAGTCGGCCTCAGTAGAGGGGGACACAGTGCTCCTTGTCAGGCCCACCCGTCTGTGTCTGCCTTGCAGTGCCTACTCCCCTGACCGCCCTCACTGTGGGACCTTTCTGACGTGTCCTGCACCAGTAGCTTAGGGCAGGGAACTCACCATGGCCTTGACCTTCCCACACTCTGTGTGATCCCAGGATCCATGAGCAAGGCCACACAGGAGCTTGGTCCTGGCAGCACTTGATGGGGGCCAGTAGCCACTGCCCTGCAGTGTGTCACAGGGTGAGACCCTGAGAGGAGGCCTGTACTGAGAGCAGCTGCTCTTGCTCCCACCTCCTAACGCCCACTTTTTTCTTTCTTTCTTTCAGAAAAAAGCTGCCGTTTTGGATGAGGTAAGCAAGGGCCGTCCTCCACTTGGAGGCAGTGTTCTCACGTCGAGTAACCTAATAGAGGGGGTGCTGAGTGGACTGCCTGTCCTCCCTCTCTGAGTCGGCTCCGAGAGCCTGGACAACCTGCACAGCAAACAAATACGTTCACAAGTCCTTCCTTCCTTCCTTCCCTCCCACCCTCACCCCAGCTCTGTCTGCTGTGTGCCACGCGGTGATGGGCGGGGGGACACCTGAGCTGGGAGGGACAGGAACGGTGATGTGCCAGGGCCAGGGCGGTCAGCAGGACGAGGAGAGGGTCACTCGTCGAGAAGGGCAAGGTGGGGGGACAGGGAGTAGGGCTGGAGGCACGTGCTGGAGAAGACTGGTGTCTGCGGGAGGACCGTGACGGGTCCTGGGCAGTGGTGCTCGAGTGACATGCAGTGGTGAGGGGCGGGAAAGAGCTCCTTCCTCTGGTCCACCAGCTTGGCAGCCACTTACCATTCCCCTTCCCTTGGACTCTGGGCAGGGTTGTAGCTGTGGTCTTGGGGTGCCCTGTTTGCATTAAGAGCACAAAGATGAGGCCACCATCACCCCAGTCAGGGTGTGGACGCAGGCTTGATACTTCTGATCCCTCCTTACCCCAGCCCTGTGACAGCTGGGATCCCCGTCCCCATCTCCTCAGTTACACAAGTGTATCCACCTCAGGAGGTGCTGGCCTGCAGCAGGACCGAGAGCGTGGCCAGAGCAGGCCAGCCTTCCCACCCCTGCCTGGGACTGTCTCTTTAACCTTGGAAAGCTGTGAGCTTGGGTGCCCACCAAAGCTGTTGGGCTCCCACTGGGTGCTGGGCTCTGCTGGGCATAGCCTTTCTTCACAGGGTGCTCTCTCCATAGCTGTGGCCACTGGCCACATGTCCTCAGTGTGAGGTGAGCTCAGTGGCCTGGGCAGCATTGAGGGACATGGGTTCCTCGGTCAACCAGTGGCTGGCAGTCTGTTGCCCCACTTTCCCCTCAGAGAAGGTTCCCATTCTGCTCCTTGGCCCCAGTCACCAGCCACCCTCCCGAAGTGATCCCTCCGGCCAAGGCCTGGTCCCTCCGTCAGCCCTGCCATCCACCTGGGGCCTCGTCCTTGCCCTGCTCTCTGAGGTGGCCTCCCATCTTCCAATTGTTTCCGCTGCACACCTGCTCCTTTAAGGTGTCCCCAAGGTCCCCACCACTGGTCCTTCTGCTGTGGGCCCCCAGCACCCGCACTCTCCACTCTGCCCACATCAGTCCACGCACTCCCCCCCCCAGCCCCTCTATGCTGACCTCACGGTGGTTGAGTGTTTTATGTTGTGTGTGTTTTGTTTACCCCAGTTTGTGGAGAAGGAGGATCCCTGGTGGTGGGGTGGTTAAAGCATCCACCCCTAACCAAGAAGTCCACAGCTGACTCACCAGGCAGTCAGCTTCCCCAGAGGGGCCACCTCTCTGTCCTGTGGGGGCGCTGTGAGCTGGGATCGATTTGACAGCAGTGGACTCGTTTTGTTCCTAACAGAGACTCCTGTTAACTGGGCCTTCCTGTGCACATCTGAGGCCTTGCCCCCTTTTGGATGTTCACACCTCCTCCAGGGTTGACCATGCCCCCTGTCCGGGATGGCCCTGAGGCCCACAGCCTGGTGCCGGGAAGAAAGCCCTCCTGTTGTGCTCCTGTAAAGGTTAAAGCAGAAGTCCCCCTGTCAGGGAGTCAATTCCAATTCATAGTGACCCCACAGGACAGATTTCTAGCCATGCATGTCCTCTGAGTAGCTGATGGCCTAGAGGGTTGATATTGCTGGGAATCTGGACACCCCAGAATAAAACCAGCATGAGAAGAGGCTCGGTTATTCCACTAGGGAAGCCTGACTAAACTGGAGTGTGTTCTGAGCTGCTACTGCTGAGGGGGTGGGGTCTGTCCCCTCCCCAAGCAGCATGTGTCCCTCCCCAGAGGAGACTGCTGCAGGAGCAGGACCTGTGTCAGGGTCGAGGGCAGCAGTAGGGCTCACTGTCCGCTGTCATGGCTGGCCCTCTGGAACTCGCTCTCCTCTGACCTTCCACTACCCGGGGACTTCACCGGTTTCCTTTCTCCTCCCCAGGCAGCTACTGTGCTTCAGGCAGCTTTCCGGGGACACTTGGCGAGGACACAGCTCCTGGTCTGCACAGACCATGGGTCCCCACGTCCCAGCACACCGAGCCCCTCGTGGAAGGTAACACTGACTCCGTGCTGTGGGCACGGGCGGGGCTTCAGCAGCCACTGGAGGGATGCTCTGGGTAGGGGCTGAAAGCTGTCCTCTCCCGCTGTCCTGCAGCATCCCACCCTGCCTGGCAGCCGGAGCCCTGCTGCTCTGGCCAGCACAGGGCTGGAGGAGGCTGCCACACTGATCCAGGCCGTCTTCCGGGCGCATCTGGCACGGACCAGGCCAGGGTGAGTCGTGTGGCTGTGCTTTGGCAGGCTGGCCACCCAGAGAGACTTGAGACCACCCAGGGGCAGGCAGTGAGTCTGGGAACAGCAAGCCTGAGAGTGCACCACCCGCCGTGGCCAAACCGAGCCTTGGAATGTCCTAGGGCTGCAGCTGGGGCCGGTTCTGACCCTTAGAAGGGGCATTTGCGGGTCTGTTAACCTGAGTGTGGTTCAGCCTCTGCCCAGTTGGCCCCTTAGAAGGGGCGTTTGCGGGTCTATTCAGAGTGTGGTTCAGCCTCTGACCAGCTGGCAGTAGTAGCACATCTCCTCTTTACGGAGGGCATGACATCATGTGGACGGCCGTGGACATTCTGACAGTGTGCTGCCACACTGTGTGTGGGCCCTGGACCCTCCTGTTTACACTCCAGCACACAGGTTCTTGTTTGCCTTTAATAAACGTCTTCTTTTTTTTTTCTACAACAGATTAGGAGGCTAGAAGCCAAGTCCAGAGCAGCAGATCTAGGGGGTGCTTTTCTCTGTCAGCTCTGAGGGCAGGTCCTTGCCTCCTTCCACACCTGTGGGCCATTGTTCCTCTCACATCTCCATGTGCTTGGCGCCAGTCTTGTCCTGACCTAGGAGGTTCTTAGCACAAGGACCCTAGATCTGAAGCCTACACTCCCCTCCTGACTCCTCTTTCATGGAGGTGGTCCCTCCCCAAACTTAGATTTCTTTTATTAATTTTGGTGTTTAAAAACAAATTTATTCTCTCATCGTGTAAGCCCGAAGTCGTCGGCCGGGGCTTTCTTGACTGGCTGTCGGGGGAGGCCCATCTCCTTTCTGCATCTGTGCCTGTTACTCAGTGGAGATCTCTGTGTATCTTGGCGTTAGTCCTCTCCCAGGTCCAGGGGCTTCTCCTAAGAGATGATCAGTCCTTAGTGGGCCTTCTTGGTCCCCCTGGCTACCCTGCCCTTTCTGTCTGTCCTTCCTTCTCACCAGACTATGCCACGTTTCTATCTGCTGTTGTCCATGCAAAAGGCGCCCCAGACTCCGTTGTTGGTACCCGTCACCCCTCAGCCAAGACAGGGTTCTCACCTGATGCAGCCAACCATGGCTTAGGGAGGTGGAGCCACCTCAGGCCTAGGTCACTGGGTCTGGGGTTCAACAAGGCACGTACGTGGCTGGCTGGACAGCTGTCTCCCAGCACACTGGTGGACGCTCCTGTCTCACTGGTCTAGAGCTGCTGTCACAGAAATGCCACAAATGCATGGCTTCACAGACCTGCTTCCTCACAGCCGGAAGGCTGGAAGTCTACATTCATGGCACTGCTCTCGGGGAGGCCCCTTCCTGTAAGCTCTGGGGATGGTTCCAGTGTCTATCTTCACCATCTTCGCCTGCTGTGGTGTCTCCTCCTCCATGTCTACTACGATTCTTCCGTCTGCTCTTGTATGTTTCAGAAGAGATGGACTTGAGGCACCCTGCGCGGAAACAGTGTCGTGATAAAAAAGAGCTATTCCCAAATTGGATTCTAACCACAAGTGTGGGGGTCCCAATTCACTGCACGCTGCTTTGGGATGGTTTGATCTATAACACCTCGTGTGAGCCTGAGACCCGGATTCACTCTCTGTGCAGCCGGGGTCCAGGGCAGCTTTTCTGTCTTTCCCAGAACTCCGGGTCTGAGGACAAGTACCCCCACTCCCGCCCCGAGGAGGACGACTGCCCCCGCGGCCAGCTGTTACGCCTCCTCCCCGCCTGTCCTCTCAGCTTCTCCTCCTAACTCCACCTCACTGCATTGTGAGTGCGCATGAGGGCCGCCGTCCTCACTGTGGGGCTGTGTGGGGGACACGGAGGGGCATCTCTCCTGTAGACCTGGGCTGAGGAGCGAGCATTCCTGAGGGCCTCCCCTTCACCAGCACAGCAGTGACCCTGTTGCCTGCAGCCTCTCAGGCCTTTCCATTCTTCTCAGTCCCTCTGGAGGGAGGCAGCACTGTCCCTGGGGGCTTCAAGGAGAATGTTACTCCCGTTTTCTCTTCTGCCTCATTAGGGTCTCTCCCTCAGGTCTCTGCTTCTCCTGTAGCAGACACGCCATAGGCTTTAACAAGTCCTTTCACAATCTCTCATTTCCATTGAGTCAGAGCTGACTCTCCAGTGGGTTTTCAGAGGCTGTAAATTGTGTGGGAGGAAACTGTCCATCTTTCTTCTACAGAGCAGTTGGTGGATTTGAACCTCTGCCTTCAGATTGGCAGCCCAACTTCATATTCACTAGGCTGGCAGAGCTCCTTCTCATTGTTTAAGAGGCTTGAAGTCCAGGTTCCATGTACCAGCTCTGGTGGAGCATGTGTGTGTGGGAGGGCCTTGTCTCCTTGCTCTGTCTCTGGACCTGGCAGGCCTCAGAGGCCTCCGTGTGCCTTGTCCTCAGCCTCCTGACCCTGGGTCTAGGAGGTTCTCAGCACAGAGACCTGGACACAAAGGACACAATGAATTCCTTGTTCTTCTTTCTTGGTGGTAGTAGGTCCCTTCCTCTGTTCATCTCTCTTTCTTTTTCACTTTTATCTCCTGTTGCTTATTTTACAGGCCACACCCCAAGGACACTCCTTTATATGGGATGGGGCTGTGACTGCTTAAGAGTGTAGCTGCCAAACTTCACTTAAGGAAGTGATCACTCCCTGACTACCAAAATTGACCTAACATTTCATCTCTTTACATTCCCACCATCTCTACATCCCACTGAGTGTAGTCCAGCTGGGTTGACACATTTTCACGGGTGTAGGCCAGAATTCAATGTCTAGCAGATCCCAGACAGACAATCTGTAAGGAAGTCCCAGGAGCTCGGGGGCAGGCTGGGGACCTTTTTTAGGCCCGTTGTCCTTACATGCAAGCAGTAGCTGGACAGACTCCCGGAAAGTCACTGCACTCCAGAATGTGTGCCTGACTGCCCTCGGTGTCCTGTACCCCGATCAGGAGCGTCCCTCTGCAGGTGGAGCCGCGATCATCTTTGGACCAAGTCACACTGTCTCGAGGCCACGTTTTGGGGAATAGTGTGCCATGCAGAGCTGCCCAGCTTTGTCCCTGTGCAGGACTTTTCTGCACTGAGTTCTTCAGGCTTTAAGATGTGAATCAACGACAGGTCAGGGAGTGGAGCAGTGCTTACATACAAGAAAGCCACAACAGGAAGCGGCCTTGCTGAACCGAGAACACAGCACAAGAGTGATGAAGAGCGTGCAGCGTCCTGAGTGGACTGACACTCTGACTGCCCTTCTTTGTAGCTCGGGACGATAGTGAGGCCAGCAGTACAGAGACTCTGGAGGGATCTGCAGCCGAGCAGGAGGCCTGGTCCACCGCAGGTGAGTGCCCTCAGGGGAGGCCCTCAGCTGGGCCCTTCCCTGTCACCCCATCAGGACAGTCCTCTCTCAGCCCCCTCACCATGGCCCTCTGCCTCAACCCCTCAGACCACCTTGGCCTTCTCAGGGTGGCCCCCTATCAACCCCCTCAGGACGGCCTTGACTTCATCCTGCAGCTCTCTCTTAGGCCCCATCTCCCGTCAGCCTCGCCACCACCGAGGGCCCCGCTCACAGCACCATCTCCCAGCCGCAGGGTTCTGCTTTCTCATCACATGCTGCACGGTCCCTTCCAGGCCCCTCACTGTCGCTTCCTCACCACCTTCCTGCATCCTCTCTCTCCTTATCCTCTGTCTTCTAACCTGTGTGGGTTTGGCCATATATGAAAGCAAACTCCTGGTCACCTTTAAGTCATTGCCTGCCCACCAGGGCCCTGAGCTGACCAGTCCCCTCATTGGTGGACCGCAGACACTTCCCGTGCGTGGTGTGTCGTCACCTCTTCTGCATTAGTCTGTTGGCCAGTGCCTACACGGTCCACACCAATCACAGGGCAGGCTGCAGCCCAGGCCAGACAAGAAGTATCAGGACCCACATTGTTTACAGCGTAGCCAGGACATGGCGGTCACCCGGGCCCAAAGCCACAAAACTAGGGTGAAGGACAGGCAGAAGCCTCTCGTCGGGACTCAGGAGGGGCTCCCCAGCTGTTTATCCAAAGAACCAAGACCAGAGGCCACACTGAGGGCCTTTTGCGAACAGGGCTGCAAGCCAAGAAGCCACAGGGCCACTCTGTAACAAGGGCGTCCCTGTGCTGGCTGCGTGGACTTGAGTCTTTGTGATGCAGGTGGAGGGTGGTCTGCCTTCTGTCTGTGCTGGTCAAGCCCCCTCCTCACACCTCACTGCCCATAGCCAGAGGCCACAGCTACCCTTCTTCAAGACAGCTGTCACTGGGGCCATCTGGTCAGCAGGGACTCGCGGCCTCGGGTGTGCAGAGTACAGTTAGTCCATGGGCTTTCAGGACTTTGGTCTTTTGAAAGCAGATGGCCAGGCCATTCTTATGAGGCACCAGATAGATTTGAACCGCCAACCTTTCAAGTAGAAGGAGTTGTGTTCTGAACCTAAGCTGTGGCTGAAGATTCTGAGCTAGTTCTGGAAGCACTGAATAGTGTGACGAAGCTCTGAGTGAGAGTCCCCTCCGCGTGCCCTGGCCGTCCATGGCGGGAGGGAGGTCAGTCCCTCCTGGGACCTAGAACCAGCATTCCTGACACTCCCTCTCTGTTGGTCCAGCAGCGCCGTCACTCCTCCAGATGCTGCCTGCCCTCTCCAGGCCCCAGCCCAGCATACAGCCACCCACGGACGAGGTGGGCTCCGACGACTCTGACGACGTGGTCATCGCCCCCTCGCTGCCCAGGAAGCACAGTGCATCCTAGACCTTGACCACCTGCTCTCAATGCAACCTGGTTTGGTGCATGTTCAAGGCTGAGGACAAAGCCCGTTCCAGAGGACACACTAACGAAAGTTGGAGAAATAATTTATCTTGTTAGCTGGCTCTGCTTTCGTGGGCGTGTCTGCTGTTGTAGGGGTCGTGGCCACCTCTGGGAGCAGCTGGGGCACTATGTGCACGTGGGATTGTCATCAGGCCCTGGCGACCCAGCACAGCTGCTGAGGATAGGTACACACAGCAAGGCGCCTTGTCACCTGGGGTGTCACAGCGCCCTAGCCAGCAGGCCTGGCTCCCATCACTGTCCAGATGGGAAGGGTACACGCTCATCGACCCCTGGGCCCAGGACAACCCAGAGGGATGTGTCTTCTAGGTCCTGCGACCCCCAGCGAGAGTGGTCTCCACCCCATGAGCTCATGAGGATGACCACATCCTTGTGCAACTTCCTTGCAAACTTAAAGGTGGCCCTGACAGCCAGGGCCGGCCGGCCAGGGTCCACTCTGCGGTTCATCCCTGACACGCTCCATTGATTGGGGGTGAGGTGGAGAAGTGACGTCAACCCCAGCTCCCTTGGTCCCCAGGTCTCTCTAGCCCTTACCCCTGCCCTCCCTGCAGCCCCTTCCGGCCCTCTTCCCCCCAGTGGCCCGTTGGTGGTTCCTATGGGACCCCCCTGCCCACCGGAGCCCTGGAAGCCCTTGGGCTCCATCTGCGTGTCATCATCATCTGGGGGGGGTCTTCCTGTGTGTGCCTCATCGGCTCCTGTGACGCAGCCTGGCAGGGATCACTCTTCTGGGTTTAGGGACCTGACACCTCTCACCAAGTGGCCTGGGTGCTGAGATCTTCCCACTCCGTGTGTGGTCAGGTCGGGTTTGGGGGGTGGTGCGTGTCCCAGTGGAGAGGCCATGGAGCCAGGACCGGACTGAAACGGGCCCCATGTGAGAACGGCAGAGGCAGGAAAGCGGCGGCCTGGAAGGCGGACTTTGGCCGTCACCCCTGCTCAAGCCGTGAGAACAGGACAGAATGTGGGGCCACATTTGCATTTTAGCGGGTTGTGAACTGCAGCCCCACAGCCTGGGGATCCTGCAGGGCGCTGGGGTGTTCCTAGGAGGGAGCCCAAGGCCCCCACCCTCTGATCCCTCAGAAACCCCCTTATGGGTTCACAGACCCTCACTGTGGGCAGAGAAGTAGGATGTGGAGCCTGCACCCCAGAGCGGTGTCAGTCCTCATGGAAGCACTGTTCCCCCACCATTCCCACCCTGCCCTGCTGTTGGGGCAGGGGTGCCCTGGACAACAGGCTGAGGTCCTGGCCGCCCAGGCTCCACACAGCAAGGACACCATGCCCACTGGGGTTGGGCCCCACCTACTACGGGGGCAGGGTAGGGAAGGCTGAGCTGGCACAAGAGGGCATCTGCTTCAAAAATGCCTTCTTCCTGGACTCTTGGATGGAAGCTGAACAGAGGCAGGGCCTGGCCTCTCAGGACTTTGGACTTGACCTAGGCCCAGGGCACTGGGCAGGGCCTAACCAGGGATTGCCAGATTCTCTCTAGGATTAGGACCCTGCCCAAACTCTCCATGCACACTAGAGCCAAGGTGGGAGCAAGTCCCTGATGGATAAAACAAAGTCAGTTCTGGGGTACTTGGCCTGCAGAGACAGGGTACCTGTCCCTAGGCCTTTCCTGTGATGACCCAACTCCTGCCTCAGAAGACAAACCCCAGGTGAGAATGCCCAGCTGACAGGCTTCCAGACCCTTTCCTGGGCTGAGTTTCTCTGTGTTCTAGAGATGCTGGGGGTACCTTCCTCTGGCACCCCCCCTCACCATGCATGTAGGCACAGCCCAGCAGTGAGAGCAGAGGAGAGACCTCCAAGGGCTCCCCAGACCTGGAGGGGTCCTCTGAGGTTGCCCTGTCTCCCTGAGCCCCCTCAACATGCACCACTGCATGGGCGGCACCTCTCCCACCTGTGTCCTGGGGTCTTGGGACCTCTGACCACATAGCATAACCAGGAAGAAGCTGGGTCAGGGCTTTGAACTCACCTCCTAGAAAGGAGCAGTGTCACAGGAGTGGGGACAGTGGGGTCTACTGTTGAGCAGGGCTCAGCAGGAGGAGGGAGGCCATCCCTGGCCTGGCATCTCTCCCCCAGGTCGCTGGCTGCTTCTTAAGACCACCTCTCGACAGCTGCCTGGCCCTTGTTACCAGTGTCAAAGCTCTGCCACCTATCCGCCTCCCCATGCCCAGTGTCTACCATGACTGTCCCTTCTTCACCTCCCGGAACACACCATCCCAAACCTGCCACTCTTTAGTCCGTGCAACTCCTGATGACCTGTGTCAGGACCATGTTCAGTGGGGACCCTATGTCAGAGAGGATGGTGCCCCATGGGGTTATGGCTGTGATCTTTATGGAAGCATGTCACTGATGGGGGGAATATACAGAGTCCCTGTACAAGAAATAACTGACACTGGAAAATGTCAGGGAGTACCATATGAACAGGGGCCAGTGGTAATGAAGGAGGGGAGTAGAAGCCACATTGAAGGTGCTGGCAAAAAATAAGGCCCCAGGAATCCATGGGATACCAACTGGCTTGTTTCAGTTAACAGGTAAAGACTTATATGCACTCACCAGTCTATGCTGGGAAATTTGGGGGACAGCTGTCTGGCCAGTGGATTAGAAGAGGTCCATATTTGTTCCCATTCCCAAAAAAAGTGATCCAATGGAATGTGGAAACTATCGAACAATATCATTATGTGCAAGCGAAGTACTGCTGAAGATCATTAAAAAAATGGCCAGAACAATACTTAGATGGGGAAACTGCCAGAAGTTCAAGCTGGACCTAGAAGACGTCATGGCACCAGAGATATTATTACTGATGTTAGATGGATCCTGGCTAAGAGTAAAGATACAAGAAGAATGTCTATTTGTTCTTTATTGACTATGCAAAGGCATTTGACTGTGTGGATCATAACAAGTTGTGGCTGACATAGAGAAGAATGGCAATCCCAGAGCACTTAATTGTGCTCATGCAGAACCTACACCTGGACTAGGAGGCTGTTGTGCAAATAGATCAGGGGAACACTGCATGGTTTAAAATTTAAAAAGGGGGTTGTATTCTCTCTCCATACCTATTCAATCTCTATGCTGAGCAAATTATTCAAGAAGCTGGACTCTGAAGAGGAGTGTGGCATCAGGATTGAAGGAGACTCATCAATAACCTGAGATGACACAGGCTTGCTTGCTGAAAGTGAGGAGCCCTTGAAGCACTTGTTGCAGATCAAGGAACACAGCCTTCAGTATGGATTGCATCTCAATGTCCAGAAAGCAATAATTCTTACCACTGAACCAATAGGCAATGTCACGATGGCTAGAGAGGAGATTGAAACTGTCAACGAGTTCATCTTACTTGGATCCACAAATAACACCCTTGGTACCAGCAGTCAGGAAATAAAGAGATTGATTGCACTAGGAAAATCTGCAGTCAGAGACCTCTCCAAATTGCTGAGGAGTAATTATGTCAGTTCGAGGACTAAGGTGCATCTGACTCAGGCCATACTTTTTCCATTCACTTGCTATGCATCTGAGAGCTGGACAGTGAATAAGGATGACAGAAGAATAACTGGTGCCTTTGAGCTGTGGTGTTGGAGAAGAACCCTGAACATCCCATAGACGTCCAAAAGAATGAACAGCTATGTCTTGGAGAGGGTGCAGCCGCAGTGCTCTTTGGAGGCAGGAATGATGAGGCTTCACCTCAACTTTGGGCATGTTGCTAGGAGGGGCTGTTCCTTGGAGAGGGACATGATGTTGGCAAGGGTGGAGGGTTGGAGAAAGAGAGGAAGACCCTTGACCAGGTGGATTGACCCAGTGACTGCCACAGTGGGCTTCTGTGTGTCAGGAAGTGTGGGGTGGTGCAGGACAGGACTGGGTTCAGATACCGTGGTCATAGGGTCACTGTGAGTCATGCTCAGTGGCATCTAATGACCACTAAATCACCAGACTTGCCTTCTTAAGTACACCTTGGTGGGCTGAAACCAACCTTCTAGTTAAGTCCATCCCAGCCCAACCCACTGCTGCTGAGTGGATCCCGCCCCACCCCATGGTGGCCCTCCATCCAGTTTATGGAGAGACAGGCCGAAAGCTCCCATGATGTGGCTGGTAGATTTGAACTGCCCACCTTTCGGGAGCAGCTCAGCACATAACCTGCTGCACCATCAAAAGTTGAGTGTGCACCATCTGTACCACCAGGAACTTCTACCAACGCGAGGAAGGGAGTGTGCAGAGCAAGGAGCCAGGCTCCAGCGCCAGGATCAGGAAGCCTTTCTGTTCTGGACATCCACTGAGCCAGGATGCTGGACTCAGGGCCCCCCACCTCCAGCCTCCTGTGGGAACCCCCAACTCATCAGCGTTAGGGAGCCTGGGCAGTGGAGCCTGAGCTCATGGTCAGCTGGAGCTCAGCACCAGCCAAGAGCCAGAGTCCCTCCTGATCGTGTGAGACGAGGTCTCACCCCATCCTCGGCTCTGAGGGACTCTCTGGCTGCATTGGTTTGTCCGGTCTGGTGGTCCAGTATGTCTGTGAGAGCGAGAGGGCTCCCATCCAGACCATAACGGATGTTGAGATCTGGCCACTCCCCACTGCTATCCCAGCTCCAGTGCCGTCTGGATGAGGCTGCCAACTAAATGACCAGGTGGGTGGACATGTTGACCTTGTCAGTCCAGCTGGCCAGGCTGGAGTGACCAGGTCCCCCAACAGGAGCCTGGTGAGCAGCCGTTGGGCTGTGTGGAGACGGTGCAGCCAGCAGCAGGGGCCTCACGCCTGGCCTCCCTCAGTTCTGTGGGCCTCCCTGGTTGGGGTCCAGGCCCAGAGACTCCACAGGCCTGGCTGCCGTCCTGCATCTGGAGGCCACGTCAGCACAGGCCTGGCCTTTCTCCCAGAACTCACAGGACTAGAAGAGCCCCTCAGGGGCTGAGCTCAGGCCAGCCCCTCCTCTGCTAGTTCCAGA